AGACAGAGAAGATGGCTAGAATTGATCAAAGATTACAATTTAGAAGTACATTATCATCCTGGCAAAGCAAATATTGTTGTAGATGCTTTGAGCAGAAAGTCTCATTGCAATTCTTTGTTAGAAGATGGCTTCAATTTGTTACATCCTGCTGTGCTACATAATATTATGATCAGTTGTTCTATTGAGAGCAAGATCATCGAGCTTCAGAAGACCGATCCGGGTGTGTTCCACATCAAAAGAAAGATGAAAGAGCAAGAGACTAAGCATTTCAGGATAGATGAGAATGGTGTTCTATGGTTTAAAGATAGACTAGTAGTGCCGAAGGATAAGGAACTTATAAACCAAATATTAGGAGAGGCTCACTCTTCTAAACTATCCATTCATCTGGGTAGTAGTAAGATGTATCAGGACTTGAAGACCCACTTTTGGTGGACCAAAATGAAGAAGGAAATTGCAGCGTATGTTGCTAAATGTCATAATTGTTGCTGAGTTAAGGCTGTTCATTTGAAACCTGTTGGACTACTTCAACCACTGTTCGTTCTAGGTTGGAAGTGGGGAGAAGTTAGCATGGATTTTATTGTTGGACTTCCACCTACTCATAAGAATTTGGATTCCATACGGGTGATTGTGGATCGCCTAACTAAGTCTGCACATTTCATTCTAGTCAGAACCAACTATCGACCGCATGAGTATGCTGAGTTGTATATATCCCACATAGTACGTCTACATGGCGTGCCAAGAACCATTGTGTCTAATAGAGGGCCGCAATTCACTGCTCGTTTTTTGGAACATTTGCACAAGATGTTAGGCACCAACTTAGTCAGAAGTTCTGCCTATCACTCCCAAACCTCCGGGCAAACTGAATGTGTAAATCAAATATTGGAAGACATGTTGAGAGCTTGTGTCATCTCTTCAAAAGGTTGATGGGAAAAATGGCTACCTTTAGCTGAGTTTTCCTACAATAGTAGTTATCAAGAGACACTACACCACAACACCATATCACCGTCAGACATCTAACGCTAAAACTTTTTTATCGATGGATGATCTGACACTAAAGATAACTCACAGACAATCTGACACTAATTCTCCATTTAGAGATTAACTGTCTGTCGCTATAGGTAATCATCTTTAACATCGAACTATCTATCGCTGAAAACAGGTATAGCATCAATCCATCTGTCGCTAAAAAAAGGGCCCCACCTTGCTCACGCGCCCACTTACATTGACCTCGCGCGCCCACTTAGATTCGGCCCTCGCGCCCAGAATTTTGGCACATCACCCTAAAATCATACAACGAGCCACGTCACCCAGAATCCTTTCCATGGTCACTGTTCGTCCACGTGACCAAGAAAACCCCCTCCACCAAAATATCTGCCACCTCTCCCCATACTCATCGCAAAAAAACTCTCCTATCCGCTCCCTCTCTCGCTCTCTCATGAGGCATGTCGGCCGAGCCTCCAGCGACCCCCGCCCCCACCGTTCCCACTCCCGCTGCCTCCACCCCCGTCGTCCCTTCTTCTCCCTCTCTCTCGATGTGGCGGCATGCTGGTCCCCTCATCCATCTCTGCTTTCACCTTCCCCTCTCTCTCGCGATGGCGCGGTGCACTGGCCGGCGAACGGCACGGGCGGGACGGCGACGCACGGGCGCCAGCGAGCCCCCGTAGGTGGCCATTGCCGCGGCTGCCACCCCCGACGCGGCTTCCTCCCACTGGTCCGCGTGCGCTCCTGGGCTCGACAAAACATCGAAACCCTAGGTGCCTGTGTTCGACGCCTCCGTCTACGCGCACGTGGCCTCTTCCTCGGCGGATCGGCTTGGCGGCCAGATCTGGAGGTACCTCACCCTCTTCTTCTCTATCTCATGGCTCATCACCTAGATCCGTCCTCCGTCTCATGGCTCCTCACCCAGACCTGCCTCCTTCCATCTTCCCCTTTTTGCAGTGCTAGACAACTAAGGCTGAGGCACCGACCAACCAGGGAGGCAACAGTAAACGAGAAAGCTACAACGGCAAGCACCAAGTACCTCAAATTTTAAATGCAGGAAGTAAGTACCGATGAATAACTATGGTATTATTCTGATTTTTAGAAGACAACCATGGTCTAAATGGTTTTTCCTATACTCTCATCATTCTTCTAGAAATATATTTTCCATATTTAATTAGCTATGTATGTTTATACCTCTTATAGCTTAGCAAAATAGTATAGTGGTGGTGCATGCTATATTTATCCCAAATATTTCCAATATGTACCATCCCGACCTCCTTAAATATATTAGGTTCTCTGTCTTTTGGATTGGGATGAATGTAGTACTTGAGAGCCTTGTCATATGTGGTTCTAAGCCTACCACCATCTATGAACTTTTATTTAGCCTTTCCAACTGTTGTGGGCTCTCACTAATGAATATTTTTTTCATATATATAGCTGTTGTCATATGTATGAACTTCTATTTAGCTTTGTCAAATTTGATGTGAGCACTAACCTTAACTATTTGTTGTCCCATTTCTTCTACTAACCATGACAAAAAGAGATTCATCCATATAGAGAAGGGATATTGCTGCATTAATTTTTTTTTTCTACTAGTACCACTTTCAAGAGAGAAGTTTTAAGTGATTTGTAAGGAGCTACACATATCACTATGCAACCAATGTCTCCATTTGAGAAAAGAAAGATATGCCGATTGAATGACCCACCTCTATCATCTTATGCCATCAATCTCTTTTCGTATACTACTATGAAAAAAGAGATATCATTTTACATTTAGTACCACGTTGTACTCTGCTTTGGAGACATTATTACTGAAGAGGAACGGATGACGGTGTAATGCATGGACCTCTTGCATACCATGGCATCATCATACAATAAATCCATGTATATAATCTCTCATACGCTTGTTGTGTTTCCTTGTTTGAACTAATAGTATATATAAGCATATGGCCATCTTTGCTTTCTTTTCCATCTTTAAGAAATGTCAAATAGGAACTTCTGCATGAAAAAAATATCTTCATTGGTAACTTTCATGGCTGATGGTTGTTGGGATATTTCCATTTTTTCATATCAAGTTCAATTACTTATTCTAGCACCGTTTTGTTCATAGGTGGTGGAAGCGGCCATGAACCTGCCCATGCTGGATTTGTTGGGCCAGGGATGTTGACCACGACAGTTTTCTAGAGATGTTTTCGCTTCTCCACCTATTGATTCTATTTTAGTTGTACGTTTCTTTTTTAGTAAAACAATGTGTAGCTTCTTAAGTAGCATAAATCATCTTAGCTGACATTTAACTGCATCTTCTCACTGTAGGCTATTCGAGCTATAACTGGACCCTAGGGTGCCTTCTAATAGTAAAGGTACTCTCACTGTGATATCAGCTTTAAAATGTCACATCATGAGATAAGAGGGATCTTTTAGTACACTTGAGGATTGTGCAATATGAGTATCTGATGCTTTGGGACCGTGCATTGTTTATTTATTACCACATCAATAACTACCATTTTCTCCACCTATCGTCCTATGTTCGTGCATAAATGGATAGAGAGGAGGGATAACATTTGCTTTTCTGAAATTTGCTTGGGACATATCAATTTTTAGTTCAATAAGAAGTCTGTGGTACATCTGTATTTGCTTTGAAAGGGGCCAAACTGTGGGCTGTTTTGGATAAATGTGTATGCTTGATGTAGGGATACTGTTACTTTTCTCCATTATACTTTTCTCCATTATTTTTAAACTGCAGTGCTCCATTTTGTTCAATTTTATAAGTGTAAACTGTGAAGCATTGCACTGCTCTCATCTTACTAAGCTTTTGTTATTATGCTTGTATAATTAAACAATTAGCATACTTAGGTGTAGTTGTAAGGTTTTGTGCATTAATGTTTGTTTTCCACATTTCTGAGATTGATAAATCTAGAATTAAAACATCTATTTGTTTCCAGCATGGAGAACCTGGTGTTGCTGTTGTTGAACTCCAGTCAGTTGATGTAGTGGTAGAACATGTTCTTAAGCAGATATTGTCATAGGTAAGTTTTTGATTTGCAATGTTTGTTTAATCCTCTATGTTTATCTATTTGTATTTGTTGAGCAGAATGCCAAATTTATTTTGTTTCCCACACCGTAGCCACACATATCACTACATTTTCTGGTCATATTTCTCTGTTTAATTCAAAACCCTATTTTGCATAATTTGTGAAGTCTAATGCTGAACTGTGTGTAGTGTTGATTAATTATTTAGAAAAGGCAAAAACTATAGTTTTTCTTAGCTTTGAGGTTCTCCTTTCTATTCCAAACATATCCTTTTTTCCCATTTACCAAAAAAGCAGCATGTTTTTATTAAGACAAGCCTGGATTACAGGAGAGGTAAGGATGACAATGGGGGTTGAATGCGTATTACAAGGAATGAGGACTAATCCTCTCCTGGGATGGTTTTCCTTAGTGGAACATTATACGACTTTATCTGTCTCACACTCTCAATAACTGTATTTTGTAAAATAGGGACTTTCTATGGCAGTATGGTTTTATGGATAATTTCTTTGTTTGCTGATGGTGGCCAGGGTAGGGGGCATCCATTTTGAATTCCTAAAAGATTACTTATTACCATCTCTATAGCACTTCATTACGTGGTTCGGATAGGCCAGAGACTTGGAATAGCTGGAAGGGCTCACAGGATTGAGTCAGACATAGCATTAGAAATATTTTTTCTTTTTTCAAATTTAACTTTGGCCTGCCTACTACATTAATTACTTCTGCTTATTAGTTGTTACAAAATATATTTAATGCTATATATGAGAGGATTGAGAGCTTATGGCAGCGTGGTTATATTATTGTCTATCCATATAAATCGTACTTAGATTAAAATTCACTTTTTCTGATGATCTTTTGAAAATGTACATTACTTATTTACTTTTTAACTGTATCTATTTCCTTTTGTCCCCACTTTGTTCTGAATTGAGTATAGTTTGTAACTTTGTTCTTTAACCCCATCTCTAATGTGCAGATTAGGAGCCACTCCTATCATGGAACTTATGATCGCAGCGAGAAAAGCAGTTGCTGAGTTGCAATTGGTGTATGGCATTGCTGTTGACAGAGTGTACACGAGCACACTTATGACATCTCTTGATATGGCAGGTTAGTTTTTTGCGTGATTCCTCGAAATGATGATGTGGATGAGCTTTGTCATCTCTACATTCAGTTAACATGATTTTTACCAAACCTCGTAAGTCATTCACTGGTCAAGATAACTGCTTTGCTCCAACTGTCACGCTCACAAATGAAAATGTTTTATATATTGTTCATAATCATCTGATATACGAGTAGTTGACTTAAGTGGAATTGTTTATCTAATCACAATGCATATGTCAGCATTTTACGTTGACTCAGCTTCCTAAGTAACCAGGCAGGCAGGCAATATTGTTTCAGACTCTTTCCCTTTACAGGATTATCTATTACCATTACGAAGTCCGATGATAGCATTTTGAAGAGACTTGATGCTCCCACTAAAGCTCCAACTTGGCCTGTTGGTTCTGAAGGTGAGTTAATTTGGCCTGCTCCCACTGAAGCTATGTATCTAGAAAAGCCAGAATGACTTTTGATTTGGAATGGAGGGAGTGCCTTTAGCTAGTGTTCTCTAACATTGCTCTAAAGCGCTCTAAAAGGTGCAAGGTGTTCGGTGGGCTCCATGCTAGGAGGAAGGATTTAACTCAGACCTAGGTGAAGGCTAGGTGGGTGGGTGGGATGGTCACATTTTAGAACAATGTTGTAGTCAGTTTATTTCTGGTGTATAAATTGGACCTATACTGTTATCTTCCTTTCATTATTTTTCCCCTTCTACCATCATCTCACTTGCCACACATTTCCTTTTCTTAGTACATACTAAACACTCGCTTACGATCTGTGTTGTGCGAACATTGATTCAAGGCTATAACAAGTGTAGGTTATTCAGATAAATGGGAATTTATTGAGACACATAGACTGCTATCAAAACTTCCGAATCATGTTTTCAGCATGGGGGAAAATATTTTAAGCTCTATCATAACCTTTCAATTATGAATCAATTTTCTAAACTTAGTGTTGATCACTTGACTGTAGGAAACCGTCCACCAGCAAAGTTTTCTGTTCCTCTACCACCATCACCTTCAATTAAGGATGATGAGGTAAAACAAATTCCCTATTTGGATTTTTGCCATCTGTTTTCTGAGGCCATCAGTTCACCTGTGATCTAATGTGGAAGTGTGCAAGAAGTGAAAGTAGTTGTTTGCTGGTTCTGTAGGGGTTATGGGTGTATTTTTTTTTATTTCAAGCTGTTATGTGGTATTGCTTCGTCTCAGTTTCTCAATGCTAGATCCAGAGAATGGGAAAACCGTGGGCTCTGTTATCATTGTCCCTTTTCAAGACTATTCTGCATTTTTTTGTCTTTTATCACACTGGCATATGCATTTGCAGTCGCTCAGTTATCATGATTTGTTATTCTTCTGCAGATTTTTGCTCCATCTCAGGAGCTGAGCAAGCAAGGGTGTATCCTGGAGGCTGCTATTGAAGCAAGTGCTACTGCAATTATCAATCTCAAGGATAGCCTAAATGAATGGGACAGTAAAGTGGGCGATGGTGACTGTGGAACCACAGTGAGTTATATTGTGTTTACCAATTCAATTCAATGCTTATTTGACTACTGCTATTTTAGGATTGAGAAATTCACTGCTATTCTTTTCAGATGTGTAGAGGTGCAACAGCTATTCTTGAACATATGAAAAAGCGGTAAGTTAAAAGCACTACAAATCATTGTCAAGAAGTTTTTTATTCTTGAAATGTAGATTAGAAATATGATAATTGTGCTGCTGACATGTGATAAAAAGACGATATATGAACTCCCACCTGGTTTTACTAGCTTTAGTATATAATGCTGGTTCCTGTCCAGTGGAAATCATATACATGATGCTGATGATTCTCATTAGTTCTATCACTGTATCACACTTCATTTCTAGCCAGTGTCTTTTTCTGTATCATTTTCCTAATATTATAATCGGGTTTGCTAATTTTATGATATAATTCGTTTTTTTCATGTAAAATATGACCAAAATTTAGTGCATTTTTCTCTATTCCAGTTACCCTATGGATGATGCATCTAGAACAATAAATGAAATTGGGGCAACAATCCAAAGGATGATGGGTGGAACAAGTGGAATCTTGTATGATAATTTGTGCTTTTCGAAGGATGTTCTTATTGTCTCTAGAGGAAATAGATGAGATGGTGAGCTTATCTATGTGAGTTGTTGTAAAGTTTTGGTCAAATTTGTGAATATGCATGTGTGTTTGTTGAAGTTGAATCTTAGTTGTGTAGTGACATTTGTATTATTGTGGACAATTGTTGATGGATTAATTTTTATTTTCTTAAACATTTAAAATTGTCTCGTTGGACTGTTTGTCGCTAAAACCATATGTACCATCACACAGTCCGTCGCTAAAAAGTAGCAATGGACTATCTATCACTATAAATATTCAGGGCAGCAGACTGTCTATCACTAAAAGTATTGTCTGACGTTAAAGATTTTTAGCGATAGGACTTACAGCGTTTGTAGAAGTCTGTCGCTATAATTTTTTAGCGTTAGATTGTCTGTCGCTGTAGCCGCTTTTAGCGTCAGACCATCCATCGCTAATCTTGGTGTTGTGGTGTAGTGAGAGTATTAAGATGGCTCCTTTTGAAGCTTTGTATGGTCATAAATGTAGAACGCCTTTGAATTGGGTTGAACCCGGAGAATGGAGATACTATGGTATTGATTTTGTCAAAGAGGTTGAAGAGCAGGTGCATATCATTCAACAACATATAGAAGCCGCTCAATAAAGGCAGAAGAGTTATGCGGACAAGAGAAGGAGACCCATTGAATTTGAAGTAGGTAATGTATACCTAAATGTGTCACCAATGAAAAAGGTACAACGGTTTAGGGTCAAAAGAAAGCTTGCACCCAGATATGTAGGTCCATATCCAATCATTGAGAAAAGCGGAAGAGTATCCTACAAGATTTAGTTACCTCCAGAAATGAGGGCTATCTTCAACGTTTTTCATGTATCCCACTCAAAGAAATGTTTACGTGTTCCAGAAGAAAGAGTGGAGGTTAGAGATATCAAGTTAGAATCGGATCTAGCCTATGAAGAGAAGCCATTTGAAATTATAGATAGCAAGGATAGAGTAACTCAAAACCATGTGATCAAGTTTCATAAAGTGATGTGGAATAATCATAGTGAGCAAGATGCTACGTGGGAACAGGAAGATTATTTATGTGAGGTATATCCCGCCTTTTATGAAAAATGGTAGGTCTTTCGAATCTCGGGACGAGATTTCTATAAGGGAGAGGGGTTGTAACACCCTAGTGTTAAGCATGCATTGGGCACTTGCATTTCATGAGCACAAGCATCATCCCAGCATTCATAAGCATGAGCATAAGAAGTTTCATCTCATTCACTTTGTCTTTATCACATGTGATGTTGCTTATATATATATATATATATATGCTTGCCATTGTGTGTGACCAATGCATGAAATGGTTGTGAGGTCACAAAAACACCTTAGACACATCTAGGATGGTACATGGAACAAGTTTGGTACTCATGACTTGGACCAAAACAGCCCCCAAGTCATAGTTATTCTAAAAACTCTAATTTTCATGATCCTACTTTGACCAAAGTTGAACTATAGCATACATGGTAGTCCACCCTTAAGCAAAGTTGTAGTACTTGACTAGAGTAACAACTTTTATTTTTGGGTCAAGACCAAATTCAGTGCATAGCATGCTCAAAAATAGATCACAAGTAGCAATTAAATGCTCTTTTCAATCTTAGAAATTTTTCTAAGTCATGAACTGATTTTCAGTTTGATGTACCATATTTTGAAGCTTTGCATTTTGAAAACCATGGCGAATTTGAGGAAACCTTCTAAAGAAAAGTTGTAGATCTCGTGTAGCTCTACAATTCTAAGTAATGGAGATTTTGCTAACTCACCACGGATTAGGAACACCGGTTGCTTGAAATCGCGCTGTCAGTCGCTTTGTCGGGCGATGGTGCGGACGCTGCACCGTTAGTGGTCGACTAGCCACAAGCCATGCGCGCCATGTGGCTGCCGTACGCCAGCATTGGCCCAGCTGGTCAGGCCGAAGCGGAGTGAAGTGTGAGGCGACGTCGCTGCTCCCTTCATTCTCGCTCTCTCGCCCTCGCTTGCCTTCTCTCCCGCCCGTGCACGCAGCACCGCCACCCAATCCACCTCGCCCACACCTTTGCCACCACCTCCTCTACCACCTTGACCCACTAGCTTCGCAACTTGAGCAAGGGTAAGGCCGCATTCCGAGTCGCCGTCACCGCCCAGCAAGAGCTCGCCCGTGGCCATCCACAACCCGTGCACCTCCGCTCTCTCTCTTCCTCATCTGGTCATCGCCAAAGGTCCTATAATCTAGATCCACCATCCATTTAACTGCTACTGCCGCCACCATGGGGAACACGTAACCGTGCCATGTGCGTCCGCCATGGCCACGCGCACGAGCTCACAACCGTCGACCTTAATCGGCCGCCCGTAGACTGCTCTTGTGCACGGTATCGTGTCGCCTAAAGCGTAGCGTCTTTCCCAAAGATAGAGACCCGTCTCTCGCTGCCGGTTAGCCAGAATGGAAAGCGCCACCGCCGTGCACTATGCGCCACCGCGCCGCCATGCACGCGGCCGGAGGACGCCGTCGCTCCACCGTGACCTAGACCTAACCCTAGATCTCCGCTAGGTCACCATGAAGCTATAGTAGTGCTCGCCTGAGCATGCCATGGCCAGGGATGGACGGAGCGCCGCCATGCACCTCCGCCAAGCTGCCATTAGCGCCGCCGCCGTAGCCAACCGCTGTTAGAGGTCCGACGACCTACCTCAATCGATGCGGGTTGACGTGAGGAACACGACGGAGGTAACCTCGTCGCTGGAGACCTCGCCGTCGGTGAGCTATCGCGGGTCAATCTCCATCCTCTGTTCTGTTTCGCTGATGTGCGGGCCCTTTAGACCGCGGGCCCCATCTATCAGTCTGTGTGTTTGTTTTGATTTTCTTATTTTTCATTGATTTGAATCCAAACTTCAAAAATTCATATCTAGAGCTAGGAGTGTCCAAATTGAATGAACCAAATTTTGTTGGATTCATAATGAAGTGTACTATTTGATAAAAATATGAAACCTACTGTTTGGTATGTTTTTCTAGGAGAATTAAATTGAGCTAGATAAGTGCTTTTAAATTGTTTTCAATCTTTTAAAATGTATAACTTGAGCTAGGAAAGTGATAAAATTGCGATTCCAATTTTTATCATCTTGTGTTGACATGCTCTAGCTAGGAAAAATACTAAACCTACAGTAAGCATACTTGGAATATGGTCTTCCTATTTAATCTTAAATAATTGCTAGTTTCTAGTGAAAATAAATGGGGTAAAAATACATAACTAATGATCATGCAATTTTTTACACAGTGTTATGGAGCTAGGATGAATGTAATAAAAATATGAAATCTATTGTTTGACACTTTTCACTAGGCTAAACTATTTTTGCTAAAATAAGCCTATGCAACTTGTTATTTTTGTAGAGATGGATATACTTATCCAAATGGTATGAAATTTGTAAATAAGACTTTTGGGGTCATGTGTAGGCTACTGTAATTTTCTTAGAATTTATTGTATAATTTTGATATATTTTCCTTATTTCACCTTAGTGTCCAAATAAATTAATAAAGGCATTTAAATAATTTATTTGGGCTTAACCATCATGTTTTCTAGAGTGTATATGATGCCTATTAACTGTTGGTACCATTGGTTATGCCTAAATTTAAATGCTTGTATGCAGTGAAATATTAATTGCTCTATAATTCAATTATAGTGACTGTTCGGACAGTTTCGGTTGTTAAGTAAATTGCATGGGTAAGATGATGTTTGGAGTGAATCTTGTAAATGACAAAGTTGTAGATAACTTACTTATCTTGCTTGTGTCAAATGTTCATGGCAATTGGCTAAATGGTTTGAGAGTTATAGTTGTTAGAAGTTGGTCTCTAGAAATGCTTGTTCTCTAGAATTTCTGGACAGATCTGGGAAATTGCTTTATTTGACCTTGATAGCCATTGAATCATCTTGAGATCACTATAATAAAGTTGTAGGCAGCTCTATAAGCTTTCCATAAAGTCCAAGATCATAGTATTTGGTTGAGTAGAACTCCATTTATGGCTGAAATAAGTAGCTGTTGTTTACAGCAGGAAATGACTAAGTCAATTGTAATTATTTGTATTATGTGATGCTTGTGTAGATGCTTAGGCTAATTAAGATTAGTTGTTTGCTGCAGGTTCTAAGCCTCTTACTGATGATGAACAACTTTACCTTAGGTTGCTAGAACTTGGTGAGTGTATGTTTCTTATACTATAGAAGAGATATGCATCTACTTAGTAAAGATCAATTGGAAGAAAGTTATACATCTACTTGGTCAACAAATGTCAAACTTATCATACATCTTGCAGATAACCATGCTCATTTATATATGATTTATCATATCATCTCATCTCTTATGCATTCATGATACTCATTTGTGCATATGCATGCAATAGGTTCCCTAGAAGGAGTTGTACCAAAGGTGCAGCGTTGATCGGACCTGTGAAGTTGGTTCCTGAGTTGTACCAAAGGTGACACACGATGCGACCCCGATGAGGGAAGTATGTGTTTGTGTTAGGAATAAATCCCTAGCTAGGTTGGAATCGATTCGAGTCGCCATCTCTCCCGGATAGTGAGAACTTGACTGAGCAGTGGCAATGTAGTATTAATTGATGGAACTTGATGGTTATGATGATGCTCGAATTATTACATTGGATATGGTTACTAATGCTTGTTATCTTAATCAAGTGATTGCTCTAGTATAGGTGCTAATCTAGAGATGCTTAATTGAATAGGTATTCAAATTGATGCTAGAGGTATTAAATCTCCAAGTTATGTTACTTAAGCTTTTATGCAAAATGTTGTCAAGCTAGCTCCACCGATAAAGCCTTGCATACTCCTTGGTGTCATATTATTTCTGGTTTATGATGGGTAAGTCTAGCTGAGTACATTCTCATACTCAGGGTTTATTCCCTCTTGTTGCAGATGACATGATGTATCATGAGTACTGTAAGAGCTGTCTTCATCCTACCGTGGATGAGGACTAAACCATGGGGCATGGTACTCCTAAGTTATCCCCTCTGTTCTGCTTTTGCTAGAAATGA